TCTTGGTGCCTTCAGCTGCACCGAAGTAGTCCCTTCATGCGAGGTATCTTACGCAATGTAGACGAGTCGCGTGGTACGGCTATAGATGCCTGATAGCACTGTGGCATTGTTTTCCTTGTTTTATGTGTATGTATATGTATGTGTATATGTTTGTGTGTTACATGTTTGTGTTTATGTATGTTTGTCTGTATGTTTCCAGCTCGCCCTCTCGATCTATTTTCGAGACTGGCTATTGCTTCTGTATGTTTCTAGCTCGCCCTCTCGATCTATTTTCGAGACTGGCTATTGCTTCTTCTGTATGTTTCTAGCTCGCCCTCTCGATCTATTTTCGAGACTGGCTATTGCTTCTGTATGTTTCTAGCTCGCCCTCTCGATCGATTTTTGAGACTGGCTATTGCTTCTGCATGTTTCTAGCTCGCCCTCTCGAATATTTCGAGACTGGCTATTGCTTCTGCATGTTTCTAGCTCGCCCTCTCGAATATTTCGAGACTGGCTATTGCTCCTTTATGCTTTCCGCTCGCCCTCTCAATCTCTTTGAGACTGGCTCTTGCTTTTGTGTTGCGTACTTTCGCGCCCCGTTTGTCACTTCTCGGTCGGTTGTCGAAAGTTTTCGCTCCCCTTTACCTATTTTTCAATGCGACCTAGGTTCGTCATTAGTTGCGGTGACACCCAAATTTGGTGCATCATTTAACCCCCCACCCTATGGTTTGCTTTGCATATTTTGTGGTCCAACGTTCCGTCAGTGCTTCTATCGCATGCCACGGCCAACGTGTTCCATCTTGGTACTTTCTTTAGCATTTTTCTTCATACAATTGGCCTTGACGTACACGTAGGATTGTCTTCCTCGCCCCACCCCGATCGCAAGCACGTTGTATCGTGACATGCGAACGTTGTTTTTGGCGTTGGTTCCTGTCCTTTTCTTTGGCCGTTGTTTACGTTCCCCGGAAACCCCCTCTTTTCCTGCTTTTCTCGATTTTGGTCGACCCCTAACGGTTTTCCATGTCGTTTGATCCTTTGCAGGCTCGGTTTTCGTTTCTTATTCTTTATGTTTACATTTCAGCACTCGATCGCATCGTAGCCCCCCTTCCCGTAAGGTTCTGGCTTACTTGATTGCGTATTCGATCGGTTCATCCGTACGAGATCGTTTGTGATTTTCTCTTCACGATTTCGTTACTTCGTGTTATGGTCTTTTCGGTTCGGATGTTTTGGTTATTTTTCGCACCCATGTGCCTTTTACCGATTTTATCCACCGACTTTGCCGCCCCGGCTTCTGTGTTTTCTTCTTTCTTGGTTCCGCTTCTTTGGTTTGGTTAACGGAGAGGTGCGGGTGAGGGTTTTGAGTTGTCGTATCTTCGATCCATCCCGCAATCCTCTTGATTGACTAGAGTCCCTCCGAGGTTTGCTTCTGTATCTGCATCTACGTCCACTCAGGGTGGGCTATTGTTATGGTATTTGGAGGTAGACAAGTGATCGTGGTTGATCATGGTTATTTGGCGCCCTCGGATGATGAGACGTGACGTCATGCTAGATCAGGGCTTTATGCTGAGACATGTGCCCTTCTGTTCAGTGTGTGCGTACAGGCGATCTATGATCGTGTGTGCGTGGGATATTGTGAGTTGGCTTGGAAAGCGTTAATCAAGAGAAAGAGAACAACGGAAAGCAACAACAACCTGCTACTGTGGTCGGACAAGAGAGTTCCACACAGCTCAAAGGTGATTGATTCTGAAGGAAGGGGTCAAATACCATTACACTTTACCCCAGATTGACAAGTCTTTCCCCAGATTTGTCAGTTCGAGCTTTCTTACAAATCTTGGAGCGGGTCATAGATCATGGGTGCGACAAGATTTCTACAGGTCAGTCAACCTTATCGTCCATACCGCTATATGAAACTTGCACCGTGACACATTCGTCAAGACCTCCTGGCTTCACTGTGTCGACGCCACGAGCGCCGACAGTGGAAAAATGCGATCTACATTACATTAACTTCCGGTGTGTCGGTGACCTCTTTCCACAATCAGGTCTCCTATTTTGGCATGCACGAGCGGGCTCGGCATCACGGTGCGCTACACAGTTACGATGTACGGTTTGGTGGTGGGGCGAAACTTGGAAATCGTAAACCTCATCGGCTTCCCAGCGCTGTGGATTGCCGAGATAGCGCTGATTCTGACGGCATTGCGGCTGTTCGTCATGTACTACCCCAGCACACGAGCCAAGTACGGAAGAGTGACCAGAGAAAAGCCGTGGGCTTGCGGCCTGGTAGCCACCTACCTTCTGGTGGAAACGGTGGTATGGTTGGCAGCTGCAATGCAGGGTACCAAGAGGTGAGGAATGAAAATGAAGCAGGGTAGGCTACAGGATTCGAGGTTTCGCGTCGCGTGAGCCCCCCTCAACTACTGTCATGGACACGTGTAACTGCTGCTGCCGTGTGTTTGTGTTTTTTTATTAGCATCGACCGCGCTGACCGCCTGACCAATGAAAAGTCAGTCTCAGTGCGTGTGTGTGCTTGTGCGTGAGAGAGAGAGGAGAGAAGTTGAGTGAGAGAGAGACGTGTATATATATATATATATACTACTACTATACAAGGTCTCTATTCGGGACGTGGGTATCAAGCCTCCCGCGCGTGACCCAAGACCAACATGCATGCGCATTGCCCGAAGAAGGGGCCTTGTGTCTTACTTTTGACGGGAAGTTTTGTAACGCTCGTATTACGTACAAAACATCGCGCACGTAGTTATTCTACATTGATCGGAGCCAGCTCGAGCGGACAACAGTTGCCAGCGAAAATCTGCTAATTGTATGTAGTGTGATTGACGATAGCAGGTTTCCAACGAGAACCAAGTCGATTTCGAAACAACACCACCAAAATACCATGTTCAACACTGCGGGTGCATGCGGTAAGACTTGTCTACAGCAGCAAGCAGCGTTTCACTTGGCCCGCTGCAAAGTGTAAACGAGCAAACGTTGGTACTGTTGGACATTGCCATGAAACCTGGAGACATAGCGATGTGGCCAGCAAATGAATGAATTAATGAATTGGAAATGAACAGACCAAGAAGCAGCGACATATCTCAACTGTCGTTTTTGAATGGGTGTCGCCAGGCGTTGTCTGCGCGGAACGCGCCCCCGGGATGTAGAGCCAGTTTTGGCGACCTTGACCGTTGACCACACGCGTCACGGAGGCCTACCGAGCTCCGGGTACGAGCGCTACATTGTAATGTACCTCGAGCGTGCCCCTGAGGAGGAACCCCTGAGGAGGAATCGCAAGAAAAAACTTGTTGCAACGAGAGGAAGCAATGCCGAAGCATGAAAGGTGACCAAACATTTATGTACACACATACATATGGAGAGATACGTTGTAGAGACAGATACAGACAGACAGACAGGTAGACAGACAGACAGACTCAGTCAAGATCACTATCCAGAAACTATCTAGCCTTGCACGTTTTGTGAAGTGTGTCAATATTGCGTCTAACATCGAGAGCCGACTCCGCCGCTGACATTCCTCGCAGAGTTGCAGCCGTCATGACGAACCTGGGCCCGCTCTCGGCGTTCATCACTCTCATGGCGGTGGCATGCCTCGGCCGCCAGTTGAAGCGGATCCACGACCTCAGCAACATGGGCCGGGATATTCGCCTGATTGGGATAATTCTGCTAATATGTTTACGTGAGTGATGGCATTGACTACGTCAAGTGAGCGTGTACATCTAATCCCTTTGCGTGAAACATCTTGGTGGTTATTGCTTTGGGGAGTACTGCCCGAAGCACTGCCATGAACTAGGACCCCGTGAGGGGGCAGCATGGGGGGGGGGGGGGGGGGAAGGACCGGTATCGTGGTTTTGGTAGTCCGACGCACTTATAAGCATGAGCCACCGCCGCAAGTGCGTGTCCTGCATCGGGACTGCTTCGTGCGATCGTTCGGTAGGTCATGACGCTTTCACCAAATTGACTGCACGTTCCGCTTTCTTGTTGTTGCCTCCTGAAAGTACGCGAATCAATGGTTCGACTTCAAGTCCTTCCTTGGTAGAGTTCGTCTGTGACACCACGGAAAGCGTCGCAAAGTTTGCCCACGGATGCTAGGAGGGTACCTGGACAGAAAACTGAACCTTTTCAACGTGTATAGTCAAAACAAAAACCCCATCAACGCCATCACATCGCCACCAACAACAAGAAGAACAACAACATGAACAACAACAACAACAACAACTTGTCGAGATGAGGCTACGCCGAATAACGTCGAAATTTCACACGATATACGACTTCCTTTGTCGAACTGAAATTTCCTGACGGAATTAGCTGACACCTGCCACCCCACACGATCGACATCGATACCCCCCCATGACCGTTGCTTGCGTGGCGCCTGTTGCTCACTTGCCGCTTTCCAGCCGTGTTCATGGCGATCAGGGTGCTATTGGGCTCTATCCTGGCGTTCAAGTACTTCTTCGTCATTTTCATTACTATTTCGCACCCGCCCATCGTCTGGATTTTGTGAGTCCTACACCCTCCCCCGTGTTTCGTGGTCGTTGCGAACCTGCGCGTGCTCTGGGATATGAACCCTCTTCTCTTTCGTGGTGGTGCCAACCCGGAGTTGTAGCTCTATAGGTATTTTTTGGGGATGTTTTTCGTGGCTGTGCCCGGCTACCTTCCGCGGTGTTAAGACAAGGAGGGCTGTATAGGCCCTGCTCACGATGCGCGGGCGTACGCACGCGCTCGGTTGCTGGGCAAGGCTGATGATCTATGAAATAGAATGGCGTCCTACTAGGAGAGTTCATGTCAGTCTCTGGAAAACACAGAGCGCGCACACGCCTACGGTGTGGCCGGCCGTCCTCGCGATTTCCGTCATGCAGTCAATCGCTGTCCTTTGACAAGGGTCTGTCTGAGGAGCGACGTGCACATCTAACTCCTCTTCCTCCTCCTTCGTTGTGGGCTTGCGCAGGAACATCAGACCCATCCAAGAGGTCCTGCATCACGCCCCAAGAAATAGCATTCCCAAAGGTGTTCAGATGCTGCTGGCGTTGTCGTCGAGGAGGAGGAGGGGGAGCAGTTCAACTATTGGCGGCGAGGAAGATACCTCGGATGTTACACAGAACCCGAGCCAACGCAGCCGCGAGTCTTACGTCGATTCGAACCGGCTCGCCGGCATCATGAACTACCTCCCGCTGCGGGAAGCGTTCGGAGAGTTCTGCCAGAAATCGCTCTGCGGCGAGGTTAGTCGATGTGTGGTGTGTTAACAAGCCGTGGAGTCATTGGCTAAATACTCGTCGCTCGCAATTTCTAGCTGCCCTACGGCCTTGTCTCTTCTTCTTCAACTTCAGACGTCCTAGAAAACGGGCCACGCAATATATTTCATTCCTCTGCGGTGCTTGCCTTCATGTTGTTTAGCGAGACCGGTTCATCCGTCTTTCCACCAAGTGCACTCACGAACAAGTCGTCTCTGGTACAGCCAATGCCGGCATGGATCACGGATAGACACACAACCGGCCGTTCTCCGAGCACGTGTTCGCTCTGGCTCTCTGCTGTTGGGGGTCGCAGCAAGCGTGGCAGTAGGTGTTGTGGTGTGGCGTACGAGGCGGCGTTCCGAAGGCGTCGAGGTGGCTGGTGTCCGCGGCACGCGCATCACACACGAGAGAGTGACAAGGGCGTGTGCTGCAGAAACTTGCAGCAAGGGGGGCCTCCCTTTCCGAATACTTTCTCTCTGAGGCGGGGCCTTTGACTTGGGTGATACAATATTCGGTCTATCTCCCCGCTCCTCACCTCCCGCTACTGTAAACAGGAGAATCACCGTCCGCTTGCTAGTCCCCCCTTTTTGTAATATCCTTTTTGTCATCTGCACTTCGATCGCCCTCTGATATCGATCGGTTTTCTGATCACATGATGCTTGTACGTCTGTGCGCACCCTCTCATGCGCAGTCTTTCCAGTTTCTCCGGGATGCTTCGGAGTTCAGAGGCGTGATCGTCGAAGGCCCCGTCGACGGCGATGCCAACGGCAGCGCCGAAGAGGAGCAGGAGGCACCAGTACACACGAGCGGGTTGGGGGACGTGGCCGCCATGGTGAACGAGTACATCAAGGACGGCGCTCCCTCGGAGATCAACATCGGCAGCGACATCAAGCACGACATCATGGAGCTGGCCAAGGTCGAAACCTTCGCCTCGCTTGACCAGGTGAGAAGTAAATCGAAGAAGGTTCGAAGCTTTCGCTTGGTTCGAAGCTTTCGCTTCGCTTGACCAGGTGAGAAGTATAGAGCAGGAAGGAAGTTCGAAGCTTCGCTTCGCTTGACCAGGTGAGATGCAAACAGAAAGGAGAAAACCGAACTGGCGTGCCTAGAGGCATGGCTACGGCGTGCTCGGGCTTTCCGTTTTGGTCTCTAAAGCACCGTCGGTGACATAGGACATCACACTCCGGGGATCGATTTGCAATTGTCGATGCATAACTCCACGACGACGAGGACACGTAATCAAAATATTGATATTCCGAAAGCTCTCGACGACCCGGCTCGAACACCGCCATTGTCGGCACCGCCATGCTAGGCAACTTACGGACCCCCCCCTTCGTCCTCCATGACCGAAATGTAGTGTATTCCTGCTGGAAGTGTGGTGACGCGGTTTTTGATGGTCCGGCTCTTGTTAAAACAACTTTGAATAGGCTCACTCCGTCCACCTTCTTGGCTGAGTATAGTTCGTGGGTAGACCGGTTCCTCGGGGCTGGGGATCAGTGTTGACTGGCTTACCTTGATCTGTCCTTCGTTTTTGGTGGTCTCCTTCTCATGTCCGGTGACTTGACAAGGGGTATGGCCACTTGTTGGGAGAAATCCAGGTACTGTAGTTATAGATGGTCAAAGCTTCTCTTCCAGAGAAGCGATTGACACGCGGACGGTATCAAGCCGTTCGGACAGAGCAACAGAAACGGGCGAAGCATGCGATAGACATGGTAAACGAGACAATTTCCACTTTGACGGGGCTTTCATTCTCTTTTTCACATGGAGTTGAGCTGAAACTCCGGGTTTCACAGCATCTGGAATAATAAGTGTCGTGAACAGACTGTAGGGGAAGTCCCCTCGTCGTAGATGCGGCATTACCGTCGCCTCTTCGACACCTCCAGAGGGCAAACAAGGAAGCATCTGCCGCTTCCGCCCCCTTTTTCCTAGCGCCGCGACCAGTACGATCACCATGTTCGTACCTGGACGAAAACGGCCAATCACGGTATTTTGTGCAGATACTGCGCGAAACCGCCAATCACTTTTGTTGGTGTTCTTTCGTCCTTCCCGTGTACAGGATGCGCGACTGCTGATTTTCGTCAAGGCCGAGAGGGAGATCAGGAGGATCCTGGAAGACAATCTCATGGCCAGGTTCCTGGCGTCCGCACAGTACAAACGGGCTGTGGACGGTGACGGCGATGGACGCGTGTAGGCCCCACACGGGGAGAGTCGACTATTGTCGGCACGCACGCAGCCGCTAGCATCAACATCGTGTTGAACGATTGCGAATATTGAAAAACTGAACTGGCGCGTACAACATGTTTATCAGCAAGGTGAAATCAACGACGTAAATTAGTGTGTCCTTGGGGCACCGGAACCTTCCATTTTGCTACGAAAGGTCGTGACCTCAACGTTGATTGTCCAGGCGACAAGGGATACCTCCGGCGTTTCACACCGAAGGCCATGCACTCGAAGGCCATGCAAACGGGTGGCTCTTGCTCTTCAGAGTTCCACCCATTATGACCTCTATTTTCGGGTCCCTCTTGCCCCTTTGCCCTCTTGCAAGGCCAAGCAACGATTAACGATTATTTCGTGGTCACCACGATGTCACCCCGGGATGTTCCACGGAAGCGAGATTGGCCTCGACCTTCTTGTCGTCGTTACCCGCCGGAAGAAGTGAAACTCCTGTGGACGCCTTCCTTCGGGATCGAAACAAAAGAAGAAGCAACACCCCCGTTCCCCAGTTTTGACCGGGCGGCCTTTTTTTTCTTCCCGTTGCAACACGAGCCATGGCTTGCTGTCCACGCTAACTCAAACGTTGGCTGGCGCTTTCAATGGGCGGACGTTTCCCGGTACACTTCACTCGCACAAATGGCGGAGTCCTAGTGTAGGTGTTCGAATGGAATGAAGGCAAAATAGCCAGCAGACCCCCGCTACTCGACGTCGGTCTGAACGCCTGCCCCCTCGGAAGCTACATGTTTGTAGCATCCGCATATATATATATTCTGTAGATGATGATACAAAAGGGGTCTGTTCTGACATCGCACTAGGTACATACCAGATCAAGGGGGCGGCGGCGGACACTCTTGGATGTCCTGACTGTGACAGTTCCTCCATGATCCGCAAAGACTACACTGCTACTCTGTAATAATAAGTTGTGAATATAATGCATTGTTGTCCAAAATACAAAAAAATTGCATAATGCAAATGCGATAGTCTATATATAGCTGCGAAAAAAGTACTGTACCGTGGGGACACAGACACCGTCGCCGGCCGTCGCAGGGGCCAAGCATCATTAACTTTTGTTGTTCCTCCTGCTATTGCTCCTGCTACGTATGTATGCCTATGTGTACGCAACGGGCTCAAGCCAGAGACAACTGCTGGGTAGACATGTCGGCGTCTGAGAACACCTCGTTACTCTATTTTGTCCCGGGCTGAGATGCGCGCGGCGGTGGGGGTTATTACGCGGGCGAATCGAAGAGCAAAGGCAACACAACGCAACGTTGTTAAATGACAAGTACTAGGGTTAAGTATTGGCCCCCCGCCCCCCAATGGGGCTGGGGGCCAACATCCAGGAAGGATGGTGGTGAGTGTCCGGGAGGAAGGAAGGAAGAAGAAGAAGAAAAAGGGGAGAGGATTTGTAGGTGCGGGAAGAAGGGACGGTGTTGGGAGAGGCAAGGAAGGAAGTGGTGAAGAGTTTCGGCACTCGACGAGCGCGCGGTCCCGTTGGGGGTGAAAGGGACATGTCAGTCCGTAGTCTTGTCTATCGGAATCGAAAAGCCGAAAAACCGAGGTATACATTATGTATGTACATAACGATGGAGAAGGCCGACGAGGAAGGTACGAAGAGAGGAAATTGCACCCCACGTTCGAAGTTCGAAGTCCGTGTGAAAACCGCGGCAAGGATGGAGTGCGAAGGAAAAAAAAAAAAAAGGAGACGTCGACGTTTGCGTCGTGGAACGATCCTTCCGTATAACGCAGGTACTCACCAATGCAAGACGGGGAGGTAAAATACCCATCGTGAAAGTCAAAGCGCAGGTCATAACCAATCGCATATATGTGACTCATGCGCGGAGAAGTTACGACGCGGACTTATCAACAAGAAGTTTGAAGGCCGACTGAGAAGGTTTCAAGACACAAATACTCCACATTGCCTCCTCCCCAACAACCTCTTTCTTCTGCTCTAAATTTACATTATACGGTTATGACACGTACACGCTCTTACATCCATCTCCCCAATAATTGCATTCTGCCGCCAGCGCAGGCACCCTACCGCCTGCACCATCACCGACATCATCACGGCCATCACCGTCACGCTTCAACATTAAGAAGCTCGAGACCTGCGTACAAGGCTGCAAACGAAACCATACCTTCCGCAGAAGTAATCGGCAATAACCACCAGGCAGGGCCGTAAGGGGCAACGATGACCCGAGGCGGGAGGCGTCAACTCTTTCACCGTCAACTAGCGGCAACGCCGTCAAACCACTGCGTGCGGTGTTTGTTCTTACTTTGTCTGAATGTTGTAGGTGTTCGGCTCCTTTCACATTGTGAGGGATACCGTATATCGGCGTCATTAGAGGGGGACATTAGAGAAGGGCGCGACATTAGACTGAAGAAGTTAGAATATGACCATTCGAGCGGGACGACACCGAAAAAGTAAGAATAATACAGGTACTGACACTATTGGGATCCCACGTGGGACGTCCCATGGGACACGTGGGCCGTCCCATGGGATGGCCCATACGGACGCACGGGACACGTGGGACGTCCCGTGGGACACGTGGGACGTCCCATGGGACACCAAATCTAGAACGTGGGACGCGTGGAACGCCCCATGGCACCACGCTAGGGACGTCCCACGCGGCGCTCGAAAACAGGCGTGGGACGTCCCAGCCGGTCTCCCCTACGGTGTCCCACTGCTGTCCCACAGGCGTTTATAATAATTAGATATATTTATCAGCTAATTTAGTGCAAGATAAGAGAATACCCGAACACCCCAGCTGCTCTTCCCTACAGCAGTACCCAGCGACCTGCACCAAAAGCAGCAGCACCTCCGAGGTCGGATTACCAATCGTGCGAAAGGATCTTTAGGGGGTTCGGGGGTCGGGTTTCCGGAAGGTTCGGAAAGCATGCCGTGCTTTTTGGGCGCGCGCGCACGCGGTTCTTGACGGTTTGGAGGTGGTACTCGGCTAGCTCAGCTCTGCTAGCTTGCACACTGAAGCCCGAGCTGTGCAGGCTTGCAGAGCCCGCCTGCTCGTATGTTCTGTGGAGTATGTTCCTGCGCGCACAGGGGACTCATGGTGTGTAGGGGAGGAGAAGAATGCTGCTAGAAAAACATGTCAGGACCGCCGAAAGCAAACAATTAGTCTACAATCAATGTAGACTGTTGTCGGGGGCACCAATTTGTATGTGCGCGCTACCGGGCTGCCGGCCGTTCGGTAGGGCGTGTACTGCTGCTGTACGAAGAGCGAGTGGAATATCTAGCTGAGTCTAGCTGAGTCTAGGTGCTGTAGGTCTAGGCCGGAACCGCTTTCTGTGCTGTACACGAAAGAAACAACCTACTGCCCCGCAACGCTAGATAGAGGTAGGCGCATCAGCATCCAGATCTGCCGCTGCCATCTGCTTCCAGATTGATAGCTTGCCAACGTCCAACCAGGCACAACACTGCACAACAACCCATACGACGTCTGAAGAAGCATGTTTCCCCCAATCCCCCACAGCCACCCTATAAGGCGTCGAAGTCCTACCCATTTCCGGCTCAAGCTAGACCTAAACAAGGTATGACACAAGATATCACACCCCCTCGACCGATTTTCCAAGCTCCATTCTTTCACAGCAGAAGCGTGGCAGCGCCGGAAACGGCGGCGTTGAAGCCGCTCTGTCAAGAGCCTTCTGAAACAGTCGTTTCATGCACGCATTCTCTTCGTGGAGTAATTGATGTTTGAAAATCGGTCCAGGGTATGGTATCTATAGTGTCACCTACGGTACGGTCCAGGTGGGTAGGCTGCTGCATTTACAGGCACACATCGCAGATGATCTGCTCCCATGTAGGTTGCAAATGGCAGATACTAGATTCAACACCTTCCCATGTCGAACTATCGAGAAAACCCCAAAGTTTTTGCGCAGGGTATATTGGGGAGATATTATACGAGTGTATTATACACCAGGTTTGAGCGAGTCGTCGCCACGTTGTTTTAAGCATACTTACTTGTAGACTTACTTCATGTAGGTTGGAAGGGGGAGTTGCAGGAGGGGAGAGAGGAGCCGACATAGTCTCGCCGATAGCCTGCTTGTTAAGCTTTGGTTTAGAAGGGGTGAACGCGGAAAGAAAACAACATAGCTTTAATATATACCGGAATAGTCGGAGAGATAGGACCGGTCTGAGAGGTGGCACCGGTCGGGGAGATGGCACGGGGTTGCTAAAAAAATACGAGAACGGCCCGATTTACATCCATTTACGCACCGGGGTCAGTGAGATTGCACACCGACCGCCAAACCCAAAGATTGAGCTCATTTTCAGCTGCCGGAGTGAGGTACATGTGTGTTCCTTATACATGTGGGGATGGTGTCAGCGGAGCGCCACCCCTGCATGTACGTATGCATGGTCGCGGTTCACACGGGATGCCAGTTGATTTCATATTTGAATTGGTATGGAAGTTGCCAACCGTATACTCTCAACCAGACACACAACGTACAAGCCACATCCTACCCCACCTTTCACAACACGAAGCTATTGTTGCTTCGTACGTACTGGTATCCGTAGAGGGAAACACCGAAACGAAAGCGGAAGACAACTGATGCCGTATGTACCAGTACCTCAGATGGAAACGACACCCTTTCTTGTCGTCACTCTATAGCCAAACTCGCATCAAACACGACACCACTCGCTGTATGGAAAGCTGTTACGTACCAGCCTACGTTGCCGTTACCGGTATGCTCCCAATCATACAACACCTGTGTGTATTTCATCGGAGATCGCACCGGTCGGAGAGATCGCACCGGGCTGCCTTGGAAATGTAATCAAAAAGATCTAATTGCATTCCCGCACCGGGGTCGGAGACATGGCACCGGGGCGCGATAAAAACTCAAGGAAGAACATTTAAAAAAACGATCGCACCCGGTGCCATCTCTCCGACCATTACGGTATCTCGAAACGGCATGTACGTACCACAAGTCCAGGACGAAATGGTATTGAATGCCAAAACGCAACCT